CAACCCAAGCCGCAGCTTCGGCCGTGCGTGCAACAGGCCCTCACTTATCCCATACCCACTGATGGCGCATGCCCGGCATTACTGAGCAAATGCGTCCGTCCAGCTCTCTCCGAAGGCTGCCGCTGCTCTACATTTGAGCTATAATTGATGTAAGTAATGAGCATATGAGTTTATAAACAGTTCCCCAGAGCTAATAAAGGCTGAGGCCAGAGCCCACGGCATTCACTCAATGCAATACCCGGAGCTGTTTAGAAGTTACTTACTGCTGCCATCAATTATCCCCATTATTCCACTTCACAAATATTTTATTTATAATTAAAGTGAACTGGGTCTTGTCAGTTGCATTTGGTAAAAGCTTTAGACAGGCTGGGTTGCTTCATTGCTATTCCCGTGACAGCTGCCAGTCAAGGATGAACGGGGACTTGTCTGGGGAGGAAGAGGAAAAAGGAGGACGGGTGAGGGTGAAGCTGTGTTTTGAGCAGTTCCCTGTATTACGGAGTGTTCTCCTAAGGCCCAACTCTTACTCAGAGGAAGGATGGTCCAGTGGTTCAGGGCCTAGTTTCTGAGACCTGAATTCACTTCCCTGCTCTGCCCCACATTCCCTGGGTGACCTTGGGCAAGTCACTCAGGCACGGCGTGCCTCAGTTTCCCACCTGTACTTTGGGGATGGCAGCACTGCACAGGCTGAGTACATGCAAGACGGTGAGGAGCTGTCATGATGGGGACCAGCTTAGCACCTTAGACAGACCAAATTTTGCACCCACCTAAAGCTTTCGAGATGGACAGGAAAATGAATCCTGGGGCAAATACGTATTTGTGATACAGTAACTCTTCCTCGCTTAACGTTATAGTTCTGTTCCTGAAAAATGTGACTTTAAGTGAAACAATGTTAAGCGAATCCAATTTCCCCATGAGAATTAATGTAAATGGGCGGGGGTCAGGTTCCAGGGAAATTTTTTTCACCAGACAAAAAATTATATATGATATAGATATACACACAGTATACGTTTTAAACAAACAATTGAATACTGTTCACAGCGATGATGATTGTGAAGCTTGGTTGAGGTGGTGAAGTCAGAGGGTGGGATATTTCCCAGGGGATGCCTTACTGCTAAATGATGAACTAGCACTCGGCTGAGCCCTTAACACTGTTGTTAATTAGCCTCTCACACAAGGCAGCACGAACACGAGGGAGGGGAGACAGCATAGCAGACAGAGACAAACATACACCTTGTGTGTGGGAGAGAAAGAGAGATGCACACTGCCCCTTTAAGTAAACTGACCCACCCTTAAGTGCATTGTCTTTTTAAGTGGATCAGGAAGTTGAGACAGCAGCTGCAGCCCCAGGCTCTGTGTCTCTCTCCCTTCGTATCCCCTCTCTGCTCTATATGAAGAAGAGGTAAGCGGGGTGCAGGAGCAGGGGGGAGGGGGACACCCTGACATTTGCCCCCCCTTTCCTCCCTGCACAGCAAGCAGGAGTCTCTGGGAGCAGCTCCAAGGCAGAGGGCAGGAGCAGCACATGACAGTGGGGGGAGGGACAGCTGAACTGTCGGCAATTGCTAGCCTGCAAGTGATAACCTGCTGGGCGGCTGCTGCCCAGGGAACTTAGGGGAGCGAGGAGTTGATAGGGGGAGCTGACGGGGGGCTGCCGGTCCACCCTGGTTCCAAGCCCCCACCAGCCAGCTGCAACGGGCTGCTCTTCCTGCAAGCAGTGGACAAAGCAGGCGGCTGCCAAGCGACGACGTTAGAAGGGAGCATTGCGCAACTTTAAACGAGCATGTTCCCTAATTGATCAAGCAACGAAACAACGTTAACCGGGACGACTTTAAGTGAGGAGTTACTGTACTCCCCACGAGCGAACCCAGCGTGCACGTGTCTGAACGATGCTGGGAAGGGAACAGCCGGGATGGTGGCTATCCAAGCAGTAGATGACCGGACGTTAGGCGTTCCTCCAGTGAGCTCACCAGGCCAGTTGCCACGTCTCTCTCCCACGTCTCGCGCTGGTTTAGCATTCGCAGGACACCACACACAGACCTTGCAATGGGGCGGAGGCTGCGGTGCCAAGTGTGTAGGGTGTGGGAATTCACTGGGCCCTTTCTGACATCGGCATCTGTCATGCTGTGTGGAGGGGCCCACGCTCGTGAGTGGCTACCTCAGGGCAGACTGTCAGAGACAGGCCAGGCACCCCAAGCTGGTGGCAAACGTGAACTCCTGGAGCACTATCATAGTCTTACCATGGAGTCACAGGAAGTCCCTTTAGACTCTCCAGCCTATCTTGCCACCCCGGCAAGCTGGACGTAGTAATAAATGGTCACTGACACCAAAAATCACACAATATTCAGGTTGCTTCCAGTCCCAGGAGACCAGTCACTTACCCCAGCTCAATTGGTTCCCTAGATCTCACACCAAAGACCACGCCTGTAGCCAAACCTGTAATAAACTATCTAAAGGTTTATTAACTAGGCAAGAGAACTAAGAGAGTTATTTCCAGGCTAAATCAAGCAGCCATAGGCAAGAATGAGTTGCCATCTAAATCCTCCGAGTGACAGAATTGTAGTGATCTGTCAATTCAAAGTGTCTTTCAGGGCGGACCCAGAGGTAACCCCTGGGGTCTCTTCCGGCATTCAGGCTGATGGGACGGGGCCTTCTGCACGTACTTCTCCATGGGTGGATGGGGCAATCAACAAAGCATTTGTCTTATAATGGCCCACTTAATTGTGGATAGCATAGGCACCGACTCCTGTTCCCGCAGGAGGGTGCTAGACCCCCGTCTACATCCGGCCCCGCCCTGACTCCACCCCTGCCCCGCCCCCATTCCAACCCCTTCCCCAAAGTCCCCACCCCAACTCTGCCCCTATTCCGACTCCTTCCCCAAATCCCCGCCCCGGCCCCGCCTCCTCCCCTGAGCACACCACGTTCCCGCTCCTCCTCCTCCCTCCTGGAGCTTGCTACGCCGCCAAACAGCTGTTTGGCGGCAGCAAGGCGGGAAGCGCTGTGGGGTAGGTGGAGGAGCAGGTTAGGTGGGGTAGGGGAGAGGAGGGCTTGGCTGCCGGTGGGTGCAGAGCACCCACTAATTTTTCCCCGTGGGTGCTCCAGCCCTGGAGCAGCCACAGAGCCGGTGCCTATGGCGGATAGTCCTCCTGGATAGGCTGGGGGGGGTGAACAATTCCTATGTGTGGGTTAATAAGTTAAGAGCAAACATTTTCAAAGTTACAGAGGGTCCTGTGGCACCTTTAAGACTAACAGAAGTATTGGGAGCATAAGCTTTAAGAAGTGAGGTTCTTATCCACGAAAGCTTATGCTCCCAATACTTCTGTTAGTCTTAAAGGTGCCACAGGACCCTCTGTTGCTTTTTACAGATTCAGACTAACACGGCTACCCCTCTGATACTTGTCAAAAATGACATAGGAGCCTAAGTCTCATTGAAAGTTAGAGGCTCCTAAGTGCCCAAGTTTCTTTTGAAAACAGCACTTAGGTTCCTAGGCCCCCATTCTCAAAGGGATGTAGACGTCTGACTCCCACCGAAATCTGTAGTATTCAGACCAAGAGCCTCAAAGGGGTTTAAGTGCCTAAGTCACATAGGCACTTTTGAAAATTTTACCTGTGATCTTATCTTTATATCGCTTGGTGTGTGTGTATCCACCAGGCCTGACTTACACCGAGCCTCATTTAATGCACTCTGGCAGCATAAAGGGGCCTTAAACTGTGTGTAATTGCACTTTAAGTCCACTTCATATTGGCAGAGTGGTGTAAAAAGGCCTTAATCCCATTTACATTAAGGCCCACCATGTATACTGGCATATAAACTGTATGTATACCCCAATGATGCAGCATATGTTACAGGCCTTGCCTCTAATCTCTTACCCACATAAGTGGGTAATTGCTACCAGCCCGTGGAGTTACTCCTTTGGCTCAAGCAATAGAGGTCCCTACTTTCAGGCCTGCAAGTCCCAGTTTCAATCCCATATGGGGGAAGGGGAGCATTCATTACATCTGTTAGAATGCCAAGACATTAATTTGTGAGGCAGGCGGGTGACACACTCCTACGGTGATTATGATAACCCAGTGACTGAACCTGGGGCCTGATCCCACAAGGTGCAGAGCACCCTCAAGTGGCATACAAGTCAGTGGGAGATGAGAATGCTCAGCAGCTCGGCATATCAGGCCCCACTGGCATAACTACCTTTGACTACACTGGGAATAAGATTGAACAGAAGGGGCAAAGGTGAGAGGAGAAGGAGAGGGAAAGGTGTACAAGGCTTGGAACGCTTGGGGGGGCTGGAGGGCAGGTCCCAAGCCCGGAGCTGAACAGTGCAGCCAGAACAAGAGTATATGGAAACTGGCCTACGTGGGACACTGAGCTTTGCAGTTCTAAATTAGGGGGTGATTTATACAAAGGGTTATCTTATACGCAAGTATATATGGTACACATGTAGGTGGAGATTTGCAACAGCGCCTAGAGGAGTTAGATGCCCAACTCCCATTAATTTCAACATGCCTAAATCCCCTAGGTGGCTTTGAAGATCTCAGCCGTAACAGGTTGTTTTAAATAATCACGCATGTCCTACTTTCGTTCAGCGGTTAGAGGTTGAGGTTACTTGTGAAAAGGGCCAAAACTCCATGAGTTTTGACAAACTGGTTTATAAAAAAAAAAAATTAATTTCACCAACAATTCGGTGCCTTTAAAAAGAAAAAGAAAAGTGCTGCTTCCTGCAGTTTGGCAGGTTGGGTTACAATGTCTTATGTTTCCAGTCTCTTCCTTAAATTTCTCTGTGGGCTTTTATTGCTCAGAATCCAAAATTTCTCCCATTTGACAAACGCTGTGTCGCAAGCAGGGAAATTGCAATTTCAGTGGTGAGGGCTCAGTCTTTCCAGATGTAAGGTGCTCTCTCGACCTCTTCGCTGATGAAATGAAAATGGCGACTTTTAACCTTGTGCACATTGTCCGGAGAACATCAAAGACACAAAAGGGGGGGGGGGGAATTGTGCCTTTTTTTTTCCAAACATTTCGGAACACTTGTGGCTATTGCCTTTAAGAAAGGGATTTCTGTCCTCTCGCAGAAACTGACAAAAACCTCTTTAACAAAGCACATTCCTTCCTCGCCGTGCTAGCCCCCTAAGGTCTGCCGTCCATCAAGGAAGATAGCCAATAAGCAATCGGTGCAATTGGAAACGATTTTTAAAAAGGCACAACCCCGTGTATGAAAAAGGCAATACTGACTTTTCAAGTCCACAACGTTCTGGGATCAGAGGGTGTAGCAAAAAAAGCAATATCACGTCCCCACCCCTGCTAACACTGTCCTGGAGAACAATATATGGCACTAGATACTGCAACGGGCTACTGGGAAAGCCAGCAGCCTTCTTCTGAAAGATGAGTGAATTTAGGAACATGCAATCAGTGGAGAAAAATGCAATGTTAATAAACTGAGGTGGAGAATTCTGATATTCCCCACTACAGACATCTAACAGTGGTTAACAAACAAGAAATAAGGTCCAGCTTTATTTTGTGTATGGTGGTTTTAAGGGAAAATGAAAGTCCCAAGTTCTTACTCCATTTTTACTCTGCCTTTAGTCAGGCAGAGTTCCCATAGACTTCATGGGGAGGTTTGCCTGAATAAGTGCAAAGCGTGTTCCTCTCCAGAAGCTGGGCCACCCGCAGAAGAAAAAGTTATGACTAGTGCTGGCTAATGGAGTTACTTGCTCACCTCAAGAGATGGAGCGGGCTGTACTATAGAAATGAAGGTAGTAGGTTCAAACCTTCTTGGTGATTTATAGGATGGGGGAGGTTAATTACAGAAGAAATAAGTAAGAAAAAGGGCAAGGAGTTGGGAGTTTGACTATTTATCAGTAGGAACCACTGTTCCTCTGGCAAGAAGGTTTTCTCCTTGTACGATCTGGCATTGGCAACAATGGGAGCAGGAGCAGGAACTAAAAAATAATCCACAATAGGTGACAGTTTAATCTCTCCAGCAGTATAACCAACCTATGGGCTGTTACACAGTGTGGAAGGAGATGGTATCCCTCCACCCAAATGACTGCACAAATATAGTCCCTCTTTTTTTTCCTTAGAGGCATCAGCTTCTTCCAAAACTGAAACTCTGGGGAGGAGAAGATGCTAGAGGGGGGAATAATGACCGCTGCCCCCATCACCGCCTAGTAACTTTGCTGTGATAAAAAGATCCACTGAGAGAGAACCCTGATTTCGGTTCAACTCAGAGAGCGAATCCTAAAACACATCAAAATCCGGAGCGAAAAGGATGATTCGACCTCCAGGAACAGAGCAGCTGCACGCCGTTTTTTCCTAACCCTGTTACGCTTGGCAGGTACCGCGCTTTGCAGCAGATGTTGCCTGGAGAACGAGAGCATTAACCGCCCTTACAGGGAGATGCAAGGCGCGGGGTGGGAGCCAGCACCAAAGGAGGCCTGGGATGCTTTGGTAACACTGCATTCCCAGCTGGGATGTCAGTAGCAGGGATTGACTTGGGCCCTCTGGTTCTAAAACGCACAAGCCGCCACTGCCCGAGCAAGAAGACCAAAGTTAGGTAACTAACCCTGCAGGAGGCTCAATAACCTCTGTCTATGGCCCAGCCCCCACTAAAATGGGACAGCGCGCTACACTGAGTGGGTTACACCTCTGGGAGAAGAAGGGTTAACATGGCCACGTTGGATGCAGTTAGGGAGAAGAAAAGGCCACCAGACCTGATCTGAGACGGGGAATTTCACTTTAAAAGGGGACTCTATACAAATAAATAAATACGACAGCCATGGCCTGAACGAACGACTGCTTATAATAACAACAGTTCCAGCAGTGCCTGGCGCCCCAAAGCACGGACACTATAGACACACAGCACCTTTAAAATGCAGCTGCCTCTGGGAGGGCAACGCACAGCAGCACTACACAGGAGCCGGAGAGTGGTATTTGGCCACAGGTAGAGAGGCAAACCCCTTCTCTTAGAGAAAGTGCCCAGGATCCTACAAGGCAGGCGGGGACTTCCCTGAAAGACTCAGGTATGGCATTCGGAGGGGTGACGGGAACAGCTGACCCTCATTCAAACCACTGATCACAGGGAGTCTACCCCTGTGCAGACCCCACTAGCATCCCTTCTGGTTAGATTTGGACAGTTACCCTGCTAGATTCTTCATAAGGGGATACGATGTTGAATTTCTACTTCCCTGTTTTCCACTGAGCGGCCCAGTCATTACAGGCCTGGCTCTGTCCCCCTGCTCCTTGGGTAGTCATTAAACCCAGGGCACATTAAGAGTAAGATGCTACTTATGTCTTCTTTTCCCTCCACGCTTCAGTCCAATTCAACTCCGGCCTTTACTTCTCTTCCCATCCCCTGCCTGTTTTCGGTTAGCCACCTATCCCACCAAGTCTGTATTGCCCCTTTTTCATTCCATCTTTCTGGTGTTTATTTAATTTAAAACAAACAAATACATATGAAACAAGAGGAGAACAAGGGCTGGTCCTGGGATGAGTGCTGGCAGCTGGGCTCCTTTGCTTTGTTGCATGGGCGTGTGTCTGCCCCATGGTGATTCATGCACTAAGGGAAGGTGTTGGTACGATACTGGAGCGTCTCCTCGAGGGAGTGGAGATTTCACATTCATTTCACCGGTATGGCAAAGTCAGTTCACTTGTCCTTCAAGGTGCATTACATTCAAGAGCTATTGCAAACCACAGCGAGGAGGTGGGGCAGAGGGGCAGATCACCTCACCCCGTAGGGTCTCTCGGGTTTGGTTATTTGAGTTAAATGAACCTCCCCTGGCCCCCAGTGTCTCTGTTCCCTCCAAACTTTGGGAAATGAAACAGGGTCTGGCCGCTCCGAGCCTTAGCTCTCTCGCGGGTCGCTGTACTGGAGCTCCGAGTTGAATACTTCCTTGTACAGGGGCGGAAAGTTCATAACGGTCTCCGGATGCAGGAGCCGGAAAAACTCCAACTTGTCCAAGTGCAGGTTGCAGATGGTTTTCATCAAGGGCAGCTTGGAAATCATCTGCAGAGGAGAGAAGCAGGGGAAGGAAGTGAGATTTGGGCTTGCGATCAGTCATGCCCAAGCTTTGCGGTCACTGGATGGGGCTTAGCTAGATGTGGCCTGGTGTCATGACAGCGATGTGGCTACAGCAGCGTGAAACCCTGAAGATGCTGTGCTGCACCTGGGTGACTGCCTCTGGGAACGGACCAGGGCTGAGAGGCACCAGGTCAAGCCCCATTTTGAACCGGTACAATGTGTCTATCCTAGGGGCTTGCTGTTCTCAGGGGGAAATGATTTGGCTCTCCCTGGGGCCTGGGAGAATCAAGGGAGCAGCTGGGTTGGTTTTCAACAGCCCTGAAAAATCTACGGCTGAGGTTTCCTCCTCCTGCCCACCCGACGGTACCATAATCACTCGATCCTGAGAGTCACAAACGAGCCCTTGCACTACAGACGGCTGATACGTAAACCTCACCCACACCTGGTACTCGAACCCTAACCCCTCCATTCTTAACACACAGGCCTCTTGCACTTGAGTGAGAGGAGAGCTTCCTTGGCCGGCCCCTGCAGCAGGTTCCACTATAATTAAGTAACAAAGCTCACCCCGGGCTGTGGGAGAACAACTCTGCTGTGATGCTCTGTTCCCCCCCCACCCCAGCCCAGGCTGTATCATGCCAGAATCAAGCCTTGATGAAGCGCTGTTAGAAAGGACATAGCCCGTTCACTCAATGCTAGAGGCCTTGTGCTATGCAAGGAGTCAGGTTAGAAGATTCTAATGGCCTTAACATTTAGGAAGTGAGAATTATTCCCGTAGGACCTAGCGAATCCAGCCAACGCAGGAGGATCCCTACGGTCTATCCACCAGGGGCTTTGTCCAGTTGAGTTGTAAATGTCCCTAGGAGTAAGGCTACCCTCCCCCGCTGAGAGCCAATCCCACAATACAACGGTCCTTGGTATCGGGACCATTTCCCCTTGATGTTCAGCCCTTGTTTTTCCTTAGTGCAATTCCACCCCCGTTCTGCCTGGCTGCTCCCAGTCGGCTCCGTTACCTTCGAGAGCTTATCCTCGCTGGGGTGTTTCTTCTGGATCTCGTGCTGCAGGGCTATATAGATCTTGTCCTGGAGTTTCTGCACCTTCTTGGATTCCGTGAGCCAAGGGCGATCTGCGAATCGATAGCCAAAGCTCACGTCAGCCCCGAGACATGGCTCTGAATCCTGCATAGCACGGCAACGCTGCGGGGTGTGTGTGTGTGTGTGTGTGTGTGTATTTCCTTAACTGATTTTCCTGCCCTTCATATGCAGGGAGCTACAGGTCACTACTTTTCTTTGTGATCATTTCCCACCCCCCCAGTGACACCTCTCGCTTGTCCTCACACATTTGTCTTGGCTGGAGAGGGCTCCAAATTCCAGAACCAGATCTGGCAGGAAGGGGAGAAAAGGGGGCGGGGGGAGGGGGGGAAAGAGGGCTCAGTACAGCACTTAAGGTTACAAGGATTTTCCACTGGGCCATTGGTCTGACATGCTGCCTCTGTTGGTGGCCAATGCCTGATGCTTGAGAACGATTCAGCCCCCACTAGCGCCCAACTGTGTACAGGGGCAGTTCTTTCCTGACCCCAGCAGCCATCAGTTTTACGCCCTGAAGCATGAGAGTGGATTACCCTTGTACTACACGGCTTGGAGACTTGAAGGAGGAGAGCGAAGTTGGAGAACATCAGGCAGCTCTCCCTGGATCTTGGAGTGGGATTTCTGTTTAATACAAGCCTCTTCAACTAAAGGGCTCCGTCCCTACAGCAAAGAGCTGAAGGAGGCGCTACATGCAAGCAACTTCCCAAGCAACTGCTTTGCTCCTTGAGGGCCACCTCTGCTAACCCTAAAAGCAGCGGAAGCTCAGGCTTCAGTCCTGCTCTCACTGGGGAGTTTTGCCATAGTCAGATCCATGCGCTTCATTTGCTCCACCTGACAATGATCTAGTGGGTCTTCAATTTCTCTGATAAGGCTTAGGGTTAACTCTCCCCAGACTCACAGCCAAAACACTCTCTCCTGGAGCTCGCGGCTCTGCGAGCTCCTTGAATGCAGAACAGACATGGCCATTCGCCTGTCCCCCTACCTGGAGAGAGCAGGACGGCTGCAGTGAACAGAGCAATCTCCTCGTCCGAGAGCTGTAGCCGGCACAAGTTCCTCCCGAGCTCGAAGACGGCATTGATAAGGTCGTCGCAGCCTAAAGAGAAGACACGGGAACGAGAAGCACATTACGTTCCAGTGCCGCAGACCCCTTCACTGCAAGAAATCTGCCTCTGTCCCCAAGTCTCCGGGCTCCTCTCCTGAAGGGAGTCACTTAGAAGGCTCCCGGAGACTAAGCAGGCAAATGGGGAGGAACCCAGCAGGTCTCCAATGAAAGAATCCCTGCATCACAAGCCAAAGGCACTGGAGTGAAGGCCACCTCCACATGGCAATGCCCATTAAAATCAATGGGTGCAGGGTCCACCCATGTGGATCCCATTGCAGGACTGGGGCCTACACTTTGTTAGCACACGTCCACTAGGGCCCAGACTGAGACCCATCAGCTTGCGGCACAAAGACCAACCAGCCATTAGCTGGATACACCTTTGGGAGGCACCCAATCTAGGCTGGGGTCAGAATGACAGCCTAGAGCCCATTAGCCACTGTCCCATTTGCTAGCCAGCCTCTGAGAATATAAACTATGGGATTCTGCAAGAAGAAGTGCTAGACAGGAGGACAAGACTCAGTGACTTTCATTATGTTCCTAAACCCCCTTGGTGCTTCTGATGCTTTCCCCCTTACTCCTTGCCATGAAGTTAATGCAGTGACTGGGACCCTTTCTGTAGGATTCACTGCTATGTTTTCACCATAAGAAGCTTTAAAGAAGAGTCATAAACTCACCCCCATCACCCCACAAGGACAAAAGCAAACAAACCAGCTCTTACCAAGCGACTTGAACATCTGCATGCCACCGTATTTCCCCTCGAAGAGCACCGTGTTATTTAAAGGGTTGAATGCCCGAATCATTCGGATCAGAAGCACTTCCAGGCAACCTAATGCAGGCAGAAAAACAACAGACAACGAGGAGGAGGAGGGAAAGGAGGAGGGTAAGGGAGCATTTCCGTCATCCAAGGAACAAAAAAAAAAAAAATCCAGACCAACAACCCCGCCACCCCCAATTCAAGTATAAATTCCAAATGATTTTTGTAAAGTGTTTAAAAAATCCCAATTTTGTTTTTTTTTTAAAAAGAGCCATTTGTGACCATGATATTTCAACAAAGGGAAATATGACCCAGTCAGTTAGCAACGGAAAGCAGAGAGATCAAATGATCAATGTAACGGTGGATTACAAAGAAAGGAGCAGGTAAAAACAAAATAAAAAAATGGAAGGAAGAAATGAAGAGGTTGGTTAGATTCCATGTGCTAAGGCTTATAAACTAGGCAGCATTTGGTTTTAAGTGTAGCAACCTGTATGGAATTTGGAGGGAGGAGCATGGGTTGCAGGAGGGAAGACATTTGGTGAGGAACCAATGCAGGTTGCTATATAAACAGATGTAGCCGGGAGGTGCCCAGCTATCTGTATTGTCTCTCACAACCATGCACAGCGCCAGGGTGGATGTGGGCGTGTTACGGCAGTGGTATGGCTGTGCTCTAGGACGCTGGGTTACTGTGAGATGACTAACCTAGGATTGCCCAACTCGCAGTTAGCCTGCACTGAAGACGCGGCCTGATTCTCCATCACCCTACCCCTCGTGGGGTGATTTACATCAGGGCGAAATGGACGGATGCTTTTCCCTGGTGTAGATGGCAGTGCAAGGGAGAATCAGACCCGGGGGGAGCTTAATACCAAATTTTGGCTCCCCAATCCCGCAGTCTGATCTGCTAGCATGGACCTGACTGTAGGATCGGGGCCTTCATGTGTGAAAATCTAACAGGAAGGGAGTGTCGGGGACTGTACATGTGGTGAGAGCTCTCAATGGTAAAGAATCATCTGTACGCAATCAGAAAGCACACTGGATTGGCTGCAGCCCCAGGGTCGAAGGCTCCTCCTTCACCTTTCCTTCTCAGTAGCAAAAGTGCACAGATGTTCCTGTACTTCTGCTGTAGTTTATAAAGGGCAGTGAAAGCAGAGTTTTGCATTTTAAGCCAGTTCTGATGTATTGGGATTGCACCAGCGCTCGACGCAAACAAAAAACTAACTTGGGACTTCGGAGTGGAACACAAAAGCGAAATGGATTAATCTGTTTTCCCCCGAGAGCCGAATATAGCAGAGAAAGCCAATGAGCACCATCCATTCTCTTAAATGCACCAAGGGGTTGTTAGAAACCTAGGGGATTTGTTTCTCTGTTTGCTGATTCCTAAAAAGAACAACTTTTAACCTGGCAATTTCCCGGCGAGATTCACTGCCCTTAAAACAAAACAAGCTAGTGTCCAGCCATAAGGAAGCGCCCCACCAATTCAAATCGGCTGCTAAGAGTCCATCAACCGTTTTTGTGTGCCACGAGAGACCTGTTACATTGGCTGAATGAACAACTGTAGCTTCATCATTTGGACCTGATCCCATTCAAGTCAATGGCAAAACTCCCCTCAACTTCAGTGGGTGCAGGACTGTTTCCTTTAAGGGAGTGACCTTGCTGATGCAATACAGACCAGGGCCAGCCTTGTGATCTGGGAACCTGAAGGCTTGGAGACCAGCATTGCGGCACTATTGCTGCTTTGACCTCTGCCTCTTTGGGGCAGGACAGCACCTTACACAGGGGGACCTGATCTGTGAGTGGGGCTCGAGGGCCCTCCTGCAATCCACATCAGAAATAATAATAGTAAAAGTGGATTCTACGCTTGGCTCTGGCTGCTGGGATATTTCTAGTGGGAAGAAGGTCAGAGCAGTCGCTTTAGAGTTCAGAGAGGAGCAGTAGTTGCAGTAATGGAAAATCTGAGCCTCCAGCGTGGGGTTAGTGTCTGAGCCGGTCAGGAAAGGTGACTTAATTCCCAGGAAAACGTAGACAAGCACAAAGAGCGTGTCATTTTCACTGATATTTTTCTTCAAAAGTTTTCTGGGTTTTCAATTAAAAATTTCGGCAACATTCGACAATTCCCAGGGAAATTTCCACTTTGACGAAAAAGCCATTTTTGGGTTGGAAACACCCCCTCCCCCATTGCGAACGAAAAATTCCAACTAGCTTTAGTTAGTGCCTGAGAGCTGGAAGGTGAAACTGACTAGAAACCCAGGGCCTAATTCTTTAGTAGTTCTGGACAGGGCCGGCTCCAGGCACCAGCTAAGGAAGTAGGTGCTTGGGGCGGCCAATACAAAGGGGCGGCAGCGGCACTCCGTCCGCTATTGGGGCGGCACGGGTCTTCGGCGGGAATTCAGCGGCGGGTCCCTCAGTCCCTCTCTTCCTCTTTGAGCTGCCGCCGAAGTGCCGCCGAAGAGGAAGAGAGGGAGTGAAGGACCCGCTGCCGAAGTGCCGCCGAAGAATGGAGCACCGCGATTGAGCTGCCGCCGAAGTGCCGCCAATCGGGCCTTTTTTTTTTTTTCCGCCGCTTGGGGCGGCAGAAAACCTGGAGCCGGCCCTGGTTCTGGACAGTTATTTACACCAGTGCCAAGTGCTACCAGAATACAGCGGGATCATTTTATACCCGCTTTGCGCTGGCAAGAGAGAATCCGCGCTATTCAGGCCTAAAAGTGTATAAAACAGCCAGCATTGTCACGACGACATTTATACAGTGCTGCAGAGCACTGCTCAGACGTTCACTAAGTTACCCTCACAACACCCTGGGAGGTAGGCATGGGAAACTGAGGCATGGAGAGGGGACACAATTTGCCCCGCGAGTCATTGGCTGAATCAGTATTAGAACTCAGGTCCCTTCTGACTCTATGTGGGCAAAGATACCAAAGAGACGGATGCTGTGAGCACTAGCTAGATTCACAAGGGTTTTCAGAAGGGCCGAGCATCTGCAGCCCCCATTGACACAGCTGGAGTTGGAGCACTGCTGAAGGTCAGGCCCCTAGGAAGCAGAGATGGAAGAGACTTATCAGGTCTCGTCCAGGATTGTCGGTGCAGGATGGTTTCCTTCTGTCTATTCCTTAGTGGTCGTGGGGTAGGAGGGGGATCCCCAGGGGTTAAGAGGTTGGATCTGAAATGCACTTGGATGCTTATGGGAGCTGGAAGCCGCAGAGACACACCTGGTGCCTCCCAAGATCCCAACACCCCTGTACTTGTGGGGAGTGGGGGGAGGGCATTGAAAACCAGACCTGGATCCAAAATCTATTGCTTTCTCTAAGCTTCCTAATGAGCCAAAGCGAAACTCTGGATCTGAACCCCTCCAAACCCGGTGGGGGATGAACTCCAGACCTGGACGTGAATAGTTGAGCCCATCTACACGCAGGACCTTTAATAAAGGTCAGGCCCACCTGTGGGCCTGGGAATGGGGAAAGCTTGGTGAACAGGGGGATTGTGCTTTCCCCTGACTCGGCTAATCCCTGAACATTCCCAGCCTGGCACCCTGGGGCTCGTTACCTCTGGAGGTTAAGGACCATCAAGGCTGAGGCTCTACATGGTCCTGATTCTCTGCCCCGGCACCTTCATGTTTCCTGTTCTCTCTCTCTTACCCAGCACCACCAGCTGCTGGTTGTGATCAGAAAGAGGCCAGGCAGGAAGATGTGTCTCCAAGCTGGTTCTGGAGACGACAAGCTGCCCAGGCCACCGGGGCTCCAGCTCCTGCCAGTTCTTGGGATCCTCCTCCCCACCACCCACTCCACCTGCCCACAGTGGGAAGTGGGACCTGCGTGTGTCATGAGGTGGGAGATTCGGGGGGAGGGCAGCGGGGCTCACCGTGTGCTGAGAAGGTGAGCCAGACCCACCTCAGTCTGGAAATCAGAGCGAGGAAGAAGGAGGGATGCAGATGGCAGGGGAAGGAGGAGGGTGGGGGTGAGTAAGAGGGAGAAGTATTAGTGGGGGAAAGTGGAGAGAACAGCAAGGAGAAAATGGAGGAAGAGAAAGGCAGAGCAGAGAAGGGAAGGAACGAGGAAGTGGCCCTGTGGACGTCCCCCTGTTGAAATCCCAGGCTGAGCCTCCAGGAGGTTGGACTAGACGACCGCCTGAGGTCTCTTCCAACCCTAATCTTTTACGAGGCGCGGTGCGGAGAAGGCGGCTTTCAGCCATTCTTCAATCTGGGCAGCTCTGGGAATGGCCCCGCCGTAAATCAGAGCAGCCCCAAGGGGCTCTAATGTAGGGCTTCTCCATAGACCAGAGCAGCCCAGAATCTCCATAGTGCTCTGTGCTAAACGGCGCTGAAGCCTTTCACATTGGCTCCGCCCTTTCCCACCCTAGCCCCGCCCCCACCCAGCACTGAGGTTCCGATGGGGGCATGTAAGGGCCAGTTAGGGTGGCCCTAGGTTGTGCCTGGCTCCCCAGCCCCTGGGGCACTAGGCCAGCCCCATTGTGCTGTCTGGGGACCAGGCCAGACGCCAGACTGTCTATCAGCGCCTAGAAGGCTGGGGGGGGATTTTGCCACCCCAGAAGGGCGTGAGGAGGAACCTGTCTGCGCGGTGGGGTCCGTCTCCCCGCTCTCTCACCTGCTTTGAGGAGGATGATCTGGTCGTTCTGGCAGAGCTCCATGAAGCCGTCGATGCGCTTGGCGAACTCCACCACGTACTGAATGGCGTTGGAGATCTGCAGGGAGCACTGCTGCCACATGGTCTCGCAGCTCTGTGAGCACAACAGGGGGCGCATCAGAGGCAGCCAGCTCCCTTCCGCACATCACCCTCCCTCCCCCCTACACGCCACAGGGGACCAAGCACAGGGATTCTTCTGTGTACTGTCCCATCCTGGGGGGGTGCACTGTATGGGGTTCTGTGCCCCACGCCCCAGAATGCATACCCCCACCCGCAAATCTTCATGCATCTCCCTTCCCAGGGTGTTCAACTCCCGCTGAAATCCAAGGCATCCCTGGGCCATTTACTTCATCCAAGGACCGAATTTAAATGGGGGTGGGGAATATAAGTAGTGGTTCCCTCCCAGGCGCCACTCACTAACTAAGCTCCACCCACTTGTCACCAAAATGAGATTCCACTCGCAGTGGATCTTCATAATATGATGGTTCCACCTCTTTTTTGCTTTGATCAGCCATTTAAATTAGCCATCATTAAACTTCAGAGTGAACGACCCTTTGAAATAGACAGGGGCTTCACAGAGCCCTTAAAGGCAGTCTTTCAGGTTCCTCCCCAGTCTTTCACGCTGCCTGCAGACTCAGGCAGACATGGCTGCAGCAGTTACACTTGGGATATTATGTCTATTTCACAATATTAAGGCTAAAGGCGTCTGGTTCCGCCCCCCCCATGTTCACTCCCCCTCCCGCCCCCCAAAATGTTAGCTTGGATTTTGGAGCTCAAGGAGATGGCTTCCGGAAAGAGCCCTGCCTTGCTGTGACCCAGCCTGGTTCACCCCTGTCTCCACGCCCCTGCCCCACTAGGTGATGGTCTGGAACACCAGGGTACGTGGCCTGGGGATTCTGCTGCACCAACCCTAGGGCATGTGTACCCCCAACCACAAAGCTGTGCTCCCCCACTCGCAGATCCACGCCGTGGGGTTCTGCCCCTAACCGCAGGGCGTGCCCAGCCCCATGAGACAGTGACTTAGCGTCCCCATCACAGCCGATATCCCTTCCCCAACCCCCTCCCCACGGGCTGCACAGCCTCTCCAGCTGGAAAGCTGCCATCCCACTCCCAGGGCAGCTGGCACTCTGAGACAGAGGGGTGTCCCATGACGATCTCCCGTACGTGCACCCTGACCCGGGAGAGGTTAGTGCCGGGGACTGGGTATCTAGAGCAGCCTGTTGTGTGGGGCAGTGAGGCACAGGCCCCGGGGGCTGGTAGGAAGCAAAGGGAAGTTACCTTGTTCTGCAAGCTCCTGATCTCCTCCTGGGTGTAGAGCATCCATGCTAGCCTCTTGAGCTCCTCCGTCGTGTACTGGCAGGTTTCCAGGTGGGACTTGACCACGTTCTGAGCGATCCGGTCTGCCGAAGGAAGCACAAAGCACAGCTGAGACTCAGGGCCTGGGAGACAGGGGCCTGGGTCCTACGGGGGGCAGACAGGCTTCCTCGAAGACAGGGCAGCCCCGGGGACTAATGCAGCGCATAGGCAGCCCCAGAGCTCCTGGCGCGTTGTCAGCATAGCCTCTCAGCTACGGATGTGTTGTGATGAGCTGTCGCGTGTCTATATGTGTCACTGCCTTCTCCTGGGTGGAGTCAGAACTGATCCAGCTGTGTGTCTTAGGCCCTATAGCGCCAGTGGGGATTCTCCTTAGCTCAGGTGCAAGGGGCCTTGTGTTTTCTGGGGTCTGTCCCTGCTTCAAATTTCTTAGCTGCCTCGGGTTTGTTACAGGATTTATGTGTTGTGAGTGTGCTGAAATTCAGACAGTTGGCTGATCAGTGGGGTACAGGCTGGACTGCAGCTTAGCAGGGTGTGGGGCATGTTCTGGGTCTCAAGGATGTTAGGAGCGGAGTTTGGGGGGGACTATTTTCCTCCTGCCGCTGCTCAGTTCTGGTGGGAGTGGGAGAGGACAGTTCCTGCCACAGCTGCCCTACCCCCCAAAGGGCTTTCTCCAGCCTCCATCCTTGTAGCTGGGGCTGCATTAGCCCTGCATGGACACACTCCCAGAGTGGGGCCCTTTAGGTGGGCGGTGTGGAGATTAATGGAAGGAGGAGGCACACATCAGAGCCTTAGGGGGGCTCACGTCAGGGCCCTAGTGGGGTTCTGGGTAATTGCTACTTCCCACCACCCAACACAGATGTAATGAGGTTGAGTAGTGTCGGCAAACGGCACCCTGGAATATTTGGCACCTTGATTGGTTGACTTGTTTTGAAGCACGGCCAGCAAATACCGTATAAATAAGATGCAGAGGCGTGTGTGTGTGTGTGTTGACCTAAAGGAGATCACTCTTTGTCAGGCTCACATACACCCGCCTGAACCAAAGGGACTTGCGCTTCACTGACTATCTGTACCTGGCCAGTGCAGGAAATGGTCAACTGAAGGGAATGTATCATCTTTGGACGAAGGCAGGGTAAGATTTTAAAAAGATTAATACTATAGGTTAAGTCTAAGTTGTTAAAAAATAGTAGTAGTCAACAGTTAATCAATATATAGTAACTGTATATGTTTTGTGCCTTGCTGAAACCGGGTACAGCATTGGTGAAGTTAGCAATTTATAAATCATAAAAGCTTTACAAGTCGCTGTGCCTGTCTTCAGTATAAGTTACCATCAAGTTTATCATAAAAGTCAGTAAAAGTTTATAAGTTATTAAATAAGTTAATAGGTAGGTTAAAATTAGTAAACCATCGTTGATTAATGCATCAGTATTGCATATGAATTTGTGTTGGTTGGGGATGGTTACAGTACACGTAAAGTCATTAGACACATTCTGTCTGTGTTGCCTTTATAGTCATAAGTCATTAAAAACCTTTCTTGAGGAATAATTAGTTGTTTAGTTTCTCTTTTGCGGACACTACTCAACCGCATTACATCTGTGTTGGGTGGTGGGAAGTAGCGATCACCCAGAACCCCACTAGGGCCCTGATGTGAGCCCCCCTAAAGCTCTGATGTGTGCCTCCTCCTTCCATTAATCTCCACATGGCGTAGTCAGCAGGATTCGAACCTGCGCGGGGAAACCCCAATGGATTGTGGTCAATTTGCTAGACTCAAAAATGCCCCAGTCAGCTTAAAGAGGTGTCTGGTTGCAGAGCACAGTAACCACAGTCTGTATCTATATTTACAAAGTTTCCTTTTCAGTCTATGAAGCTTCCCAGATAGATTATGCTTATGCTTGCAGGATTCAACTGTACTCGTTTCTTACAACTTCCGGAAGTTTGAGGCCTAACAGTACTTAGCCTGACACTACTTGCCAAGGCTTGTGCACATTAATCACAGGTGGGTGCCAGACTCACAGGGAGGGGACTGCAGGAGGCTCCAGGAGAGAGCAGGACCAGAGCCTGGGAGTCCCTACTTTATCTTCCGCTATCAGCATGTAGCCCCCGTTTAGGGACGGGCCCACATGAGATGATAGCCTACTACTGCTCCCCACTAGCAGAAATGCTCCTTTAGCTCAAGCATAGAGGCCTGCGCTTTCAATGCTGAAGGTCTGGGGGTCAGCCCTACCGATGGGTGGTTGCTCTGAGCCCTGCAAAATTCAGCTCATGCCTTCTCTTATGTCTGGGGTTGGGGAGCAGGTACTGACCGATCTCGAGCATCGAAATGTCCGAGGCGAGCTGGCTGCCCTCCAGGGTGCCGTGGGCAAAGAGGCCTGGCTCCAGCATCAGCTCGTAGATGGACTCCTGCTTGATGAGTTTGGCATCGCTGACGTCCATGCTGGACTGGTCAGGCGAGGGCTGGGCCGAGGTCAGGAGGTCGAGGTTGTAGTAGGTGCTGCCTCCGTCAGGGGTGAGGGGGAAGTCGAAGAGGAGCCCATCCGACAGTGGGGAGATATCGTCCAGGTCCGAGACCCCGCTGCTCACGCTGGTGGGGTAGACCCGTGCCAGGGCCTCGGAGTCGTCCTTGGAGACCCCGTTCTGCTCCTGGTTCTGTTGGTGCTTCTGCACCTCCGCATACAGGCTGTCCCGCTGCTTCTTGGACATGCGGCCGAACTTCACCGCTGGGGAGAAGGAAGCAGGGCCAGTGGGCTTGGGCACGTGGATGGGGGCGCAGTGGCAAACGAAGGGTTAACAACAACTCCACTGCCCCAGGCAGATCCCAAAGGAGTAGGAGTGGGGCAGGGCAATGCCCTGAGGCTCCAGGGCTGGGGTGATTATTTTGGTACATTCCGATGATGGGGTTTTCCCCTCCTTTGATTAGCAGCAGCGAGCAGAGGCCCCAGCTGGGATCAGGGCCCCCACTGTGGTAGGTGCTGAGCACACAGATAGGGGGACAGTCCCTGCTCCAAGGAGCTTACAGCTGAAACTGACGAGACGTACCCAAGATCCCTGGCACGGCCAGGAATTCAAGAGTCCTGGCTCAGAGCCTATTACTATTCCGCACTGAGCGGCCCGGCCTGCAACTCCCCGATCCCCCAGGAGCCCAGCCGACCCCCAGGCCTTGGGAGCAGACTCACCGTCACGCGACATGCCCAGCGCCAGACATTTCTGCAGGCGGCAGTGCTGGCACCGGTTCCGGTTGGTCCGGTCGATCAGGCAGTTCCTCTGGCGCGAGCAGGAGTAGCTGGCGTTATTCTGCTGGCTTCTCCGGAAGAAACCCTGCGCGGGAAGGAGGACGGTTCAAAAAGGGGTGGGGTGGGGATCCCCCACGTGGTCTGGTCTTGTACTTCTATCACAGCCAAAGCCCTGTGGTTTGTATGAGGGTGAGGATGGAAAAGGCCCAGCGGGGGCACCTGGCCCATCCCAGCCTAAGATTGTTCCTGGGGAGACGGTCTCTTGTGCTTTGTCCAGCCTTGGCCCACGCAATGGGAACCGGGGGCTGTTCCAGAGTGGGGAGGGAGCAATGCCAGACCCAGGGAAGGGACGAAGGGGTGGGGGAGGTGGAGGCCAGCGATGGTGCTAGTGGGATGGTGACCAGAGCCTGGGAGGTTGCCCTGCGATTTGTCCCCAAGCAGCTCAACCAGTGTATCCGGCTCCTGCCCGGCAATGCTCCTAGGCTGGGACCTTCAGTGGGAGCTGGCGTCTGGCTGGCGTAGGCTCCTTTGGAAACCCCTGCCCCAGCGCTGGGCGAGCAGACGGCTCACGCCAAAGAGGTGTGTAAACCAAGGCCACCATCCCCTGAATCACCGGGCTGAGAACGCCCAACTCCTTACACGTGCCGAGTGCCAGGGCTGGACACAGCCCATCACTTACCTTACAGCCTTCACAGGTGATGACACCATAGTGAATCCCCGAAGACTTGTCTCCGCAGATCTTACACGGGATCACTTCGATTTGGGCTGCAGCCGGGAGGGGAACAAAACAGACAAGCCCAGGTCAGTTCACTGCGGCGTCTCTCTCTCTAGGGAACAGAGCAGTTAAGACCCTGGGCCCTTGTGCGGAGACAGGGACCTCACAGCGCTTTACCAACAGACATTAACAGAACCTTCTGGGAGGTGGGTAGTATCATCCCCATCTTGAGGGAAACTGAGGCACAGAGCAGGGCTGTGACTTGCTCAAGGTCAGCCAGCAGGCCAGCAATGGAGCTGGGAACAGAACCCAGGTCTGCTAATCCTGTACTCTAGTCAGTAGATCCCACCGTTTAAACCCTCTGAAATGATCCTCTTACGAGTCCAGCCCCCCTGCTCAGCACACCTGGGAAACAAGCAACACCAACTACTCAGCTCGGCAAGCAGACGCTCTTTTCCCAGCCTCACTCCAAGCACCGCAAGACCCCGCCTAGGCCCCGTGCCAAGTGGCCACGGGATCCCCTCCAGGTTTTCCTCTTCCTTATTCCTGATGGGGAGTGAGGAGGCTGAGGGACTCATTAACATTTGGCTTGATTCTGTACCTGTGCTGGTTGCACTTATAGTCACGAGTGGATCTGAGTACTCAGAAGAGACGGATCTAGGCCTGCGTGGATCCCACACACCTGCCCTGCCTGAGTTTCTTTGCAGAGACTGAATCCTGGAACCTCTCCATCTAAAAGCCCATATTAAACATCCAGACCTGCTCCACCCACTAGCGGGAGACAAAGCGCTACCCTGCACTAGCTTGAGGTACACACCCAGGTGCAGTCTGTCTGTAGTGCTTAAATGGCCACTTTTCTCCATCTTTTTTATGGCAAGTATTTGAAGACCTCTCAATCTCCTCTTTTCCAAACTAAACATACCCAGTTCCTTCAGCCTTTGCTCATATGGCTTGTGTACCATGCCTTTGTTCATTGGGGGACGGATAGCTCAGTGGTTTGAGCATTGGCCTGCTAAACCCAGGGTTGTGAGTTTTAATCCTTGAGGGGGCTACTTAGGGATCTGGGGCAAAATCAGTACTTGGTCCTGCTAGTGAAGGCAGGGGGCTGGACTCGATGACCCAAGGTCCCTTCCAGTTCTAGGAGATGATAATAATTAATGGAGATATCCTATTATCTTTGTCAGTCACCTCTGGATCCTCTCCAGTTTCTCTACATCCTTTCTACACATCAATGACTAAAACTGGACACACTTCTCCAGCCGAGGCCGAACCAGCACCGAGTAGAGCGGTACTATCACCTCCCGTGGCCATGCTCTGCCTCTGTTAATGCAACCCACAATTGCATTGGCTTTTTTTGCAACAGCATCGCATGGCTGGCTCCAGCTGAGGTGGTGATCCACCACAACTCCCAGAGCCTTGCGCAGCCACGGAAGTCCTGAGCTGCCCCCGTGGTACAGATGTACACGCATTACAGACTATTGGGGCAGTGTTCTCGGTAGCGGGGATTGAAGGGGATTCAGAACCTGGGTTACCTGCCTAGGTAGGATCTAATACAGGAGCAAAGGATGAATCAGTACAGTGAATCGGGCTGCAATTCCCAACATGCTCAGGAGATGGCAGTGAAGTGCTGTTCCCAGCCATTATCGGATGGATTACAGCTGGGTGGGTGCGTGAAGGGAAAGGTCTCTCACTCTTAGCAGCAGTCGCAAGGCAAGGACGAGGATTTCACAGCTCAGCTGACCAAAGACTCGCCATCCCCTGACCCCCAACACCCACCCCTCCAGAGCCACATCTGCCTGTGCTGAAACTGGCTCCCCAACCCTCCCCCCCCATAGCTACCAGTTCCCGGTACGGGGCTGCCCTCATGGGTCGGACACAGGGTAATGTACCAGGTGTGCACTGGTGGTGCTTCAAACCCTAGGCCTCCTCCTCCTGGGTGGGCTCCCATTGTATGCACACGCAGCTAGCAGGGAAGGGTCGGGCAGGGGAGAAACGGGGAAGGTCCCAGAGGCCATGGGTGTAGTTAGTTGCAGGCACCCAGGGACTGGATATCATCAGTCAAAGGCAACAGAGAATGCAGAAGGGTGCTGCAGTTTCATGGCTCAAAAGGCCGCATGGAGGGGGAATTCCTATGTCCCCTGTAAGTGTCCCCACAGTTGCAAGAGGGAGGGCTGGGCTGGGCTGGCGCTAAAAGAGCTTGGCTTGTTTAACCTAAGTAAAAGGAGCCCAAGGGGAGATCTGATTGCTCTCTATAAATACATCAGAGGGATAAACACCAGGCAGGGAGAGGATTATTTAAGTTAAGCGCCAATGTGGACACAAGAATAAATGGAGATAAACTGGCCATCAACAAGTTTAGGCTCGAAATTAGGTGAAGGTTTCTAACCATCAGAGGAGTGAAGTCCTGGAACAGCCTTCCCAGAGGGGCACTGGGGGCAAACAACCTAACTGGCTTCAAGCCTGAGCTTGAGAAGTTTCCGGAGGGGATGGTATGAAGGGACTGCCTACAATGGCGTGTGGCCCGTTGGCGACGGCCAGTAGCAAGAATCCCCAACAGCTGGAGATGGGACACTAGAGGGGGAGGGCTCTGAGTTACTGCAGAGAATTCTCTCCCAGGAATCTGCCTGGTGGGTCTTGCCCACATACTCAGGGTCTAGCTGATCGCCATATGTGGGGTTGGGAAGGAATTCCCCCCCCAGGTCAGACTGGCAGAGACCCTGGGGGGGGCGGTTTCGCCTTCCTCTGCACCATGGGGCCCGGGTCACTTGCAGGTTTAAACTAGTGTCAGTGGTGGATTCTCTGTAACTTGACGTCTTTTAACCATGATTTGAGGATGTCAGTAACTCAGCCAGAGGTTGGGGGTCTCTTACAGGAGTGGACGGGTGAGATCAGACTAGATGACCATGATAGTCCCTTAAAGTCTATCAGTCTGCAGGGGAGCCTGGAGTGAGGCTGCTGGACACAGACAGACCCTGTGGTCCTCTCTGGCTCTCCATCTGGCAGCCTGAGGTCACTACACAGGGCAGCCCTAAGGCCCAGTCTGGATTCGGCAGCCGCGGAATGGGATTGCTGACTGCACTGTAGTTCCGGGGGGCACTGCCAGCAAGCCTGGTCCCCACAGTACGTCAAACTACCCCTGCAAGCCCTTTCTATCTGCAGCCCTTGTCCTGGGGCGCCCCCTGGTGTTTGTGTGGGTGTGGCCTTTCACGCCATCTCTGCTGGTTTGCTCGTCTCGTGGATAGAGCACCGGGACTCAAGTGACCTGGGTTCTAGCCCCAGCTCTGTTGCTGGGTGACCTGGGGCAAGCCACCTGCCCTCCCCACTGCCTCAGTTTCCTCAGTTTCATCCGCAAAATGAATGATTCTGCCCTCCTTGGTAAAGTGCTTTCAGAACTAGAGATGAGAAGTGCTATGAGAGCTAAATATTATGGTATTTATTTGCACTGCAGTACCACCAGGGACCCTAGTCACAGACCAGGACTCCACTGTGCTAGGCGCTGTACAAACACAAGGAAAAGATGGTCCCTGCCCCAAAGAGCTTACGGTCGAAGTATAAGACAAGAGACAACACAGACAGACAGGGGAGCACAAGGAAACAACGAGCCAACAACAACAGGCCATCTCTGCCGTAGCTGGAGTCGTTCGGGTGTCCCTGGTGAGGTCGCTGGCCGGCCCGTTGGGACGAGCATTGGGATGGGGTCTGGTAGTGAAGGGGATGCCGAACGGGCCTGATTCTGCTTTGCACCTCCGGCGCTGATTTCCACAGCACTCTGCAGGATCGGGGGCCCCTGCAGTGGGGGTGCATGTTGACCCGCCAAGGCTTTGGTTGGGTGGTTTTAAAACCAAAAGACCAGGCAGGAGGCGATGTAAGGCAGGTACCAAGGGAGCTGGTGAGCAGACTGGCCCGGCTGGGCAGGCCCCGGGCACCACAATAATGGCAATAGCAGGGCTATTAGAGGGGGAGGGGCAGGGATCTGGCATGCAGGAGTGACACCAGGAACTCCCAGTGCCTGGGCCAGTGGGGCCCAGCTGTGTCTAGGGCAGGGCGGGGCTTGTTCCCAGGATACTGCGTGGGAGGGGGCTGGGAGTCTTTGGCTAGAACAACTGGGCCAGATTCTGACCTCACACGAGTGTTAAATCCAAAGTATGGTCAATGGAGTCCCACCAGTGTGAGAGTCAGTGTGTCCGTGGGCTCGGCCTGTCTACAGCACGTCTGTGTCCTGGGCCGCACGTGGCGGGGGGGAGCATTTAGGGGGGAAGGGAATAGAGCGTCCTACCGGCACAGCTCCTCTGCACTCATTCCCCCACCCCCAAAACTGCCAGTGTTTGGGGCATCCCGGATAAGGGACATTGGGGGTTTGGAAGCATTCCTTTCACACAGCTCTGTCTTTGCAAACCTCCATGCACTGGGGCGGATGGAGAGGGGGCAGGAACAGGCCTCCAGATGGGCTTATCAGACCCTGATTAACAGCTGCATAATAACCAGGCTTTTCATTAGAGCCAAGGCATGGCTGCAGGGAACAGCCGTGTGTAGAGAGGACGGCTGCCTTCAAGTGTCCTGTGCCTTGGAATAAACCTCTCAGCAAATGCTCAGCTTTGCTCCAGCCTTCCCTTCAGCACAAAGTAAGTTCCTCTGTTCCTGTGCTAGCGGGATTTCTGAATGCTTTCCAAGCCACTAGAAAAAGCCATCTCTTTCACCCAGCACTGCCATGCAGCCACCTCTGTGCTAGAACATGGCAGCTGTTCAACAACGCACAGCACCGGGTTAGCCCAGGAAGTAAAGAAAAACACTGAATCCACCGAAGGGAATTTCTGGAGGGAGACTGAATGGAATGAGCCAAGCTGGCATCTGGCCACAACAGCAGGGTTGTCTCTAGCAGAAAAAGCCACCGAATCCTGAGAGATTATAGTGGTTAAAACCTGTGCAAATGCCTGGCAGAGAAAGGAGCCATTCCAGAGGGAGGGCAAAGAGAAATCCAGTCCAGAGCTTGCTTACAACTGTCCCAGGTGGCACAAGTGAGCTCCAGGGGATAAAGAACGGGGTGGATTCC